CATTTCTCCCAGATTTTTAATATTTTGCAAAATAAGCTCAAATAAACAAATAAAATTAAGACAATTAGCAATCAGGGGGCTCGAGCAATGATTGAGAAAAGGAAAGTGATGAAGATAATTTTGCTTTCTGGCCAAAATATGGGGTTTGGTTAGGTCGATTCACCCTAGTGGTATTATTTTACGACACAAATAATTTTGTGATATCCACTAGATTTTTGTGAACTTTCACTGACCCCTTAATTCTTGTGACATATTAAATGCTTGAGACTGGCCTGACCAAAGGTGACAGTTCATTTTGCTTTTGGTGCCAAATGAAAAACAGTTTAAATGTAAAATTATTTGCTTTTAACTTATTAGTTTTTAATTAAGAAACATTTAAAATATACGAGCCCTTCTTTGTTATGGTACTTTCTTATTCTTATAAGATCTCCTACAAAAGTAGATTGTGTAATAGTACAATTTCTAATAGTGTTGCACATAATTGCACTTAGTTTCATAAAAATAATGGGGCAAGTTTATGTCTAAAATTTTTTTAAGTTTATGACTTAACACAAAAGAAGAGTTAGGTTAAAAAAATAAGTGTTTCATTAAAATGTGTAGAACTTATGAAAGAAAAATTGACGGGTAAATATCCCACATAATCCTCCAAATTCTTGCAAGTAATTCTGTAATAACTTGTACATTTCTAGGTTCCTGTGGATTATCATTTTGTCTAACACAAAAACTCCTACATATTAAACATCTACTAATATTGGTCTTTTTTGGGTTTTTTGCTTTTCCACAAAATGCACATTTTCTTCTTAAATCTGGGAGTTTATGAGCTCTACATTGTAAAATTTAGGCCAGACACAATTATAGTATGAGAGAAACAGCGATTAAAAAAATGCCATCTAAACCAGCCAACTACCCTATCCATCCACTTCATTTTCTTCAATATCAAAAACTGCTGGGAAGCAGGTTCATGGTTCTGGACTTTAAAACCAGAGTACACAAGCTGTCTCCCCATCTATCCTGAATTAACACTAATGTTAACTTAAATATGTCTATGTCAACTATGATTGTCTTTGAAATTAAAGAAAAAAGGTAAACAGAATGTGCTTTGCTGTGATCATTGGGGAAAATAAAGTTAACATGCTAAGCCAAACCAACGTAGGACTTTTAAAGAATAAAGTATAAATAGTTTAGCTATAATAGCAACAAATTCAAAAAATGCACATTAAAATGTTTACTTCAAAACTTAGACAATTCCATTTGTATATAGTTTTTCCATCTGTTTCTAATGATATCAAATTATTGATTATTCATTTTTCTCATATTTGTTTAAGCATTAACTGTAGAATTTGCAATCTGATCTTTTTTTTAATCCTTCCAGTAGACTTTTATTTTTGCCAGCTTTTAGTCATATTTACTTTGATCTTTCAGAGTATATAATTATTTTACTGTTTATTTATTTCTATGAAAAGAGAAAAAAAATTGACCTAGGAGATCTATATGTGGCAATTTGTAACAGAATCACATAGCTTATGTTTAGGAAATCATGGTTTTGATTAAGAAGCAACCATTTAGTTCCCACTGTTTTATTAAAACAGACATTAGGAGATAATAAGAAACATATTTAACAATGTAGCCCGAATTTAGTTTGGAACATCACTAAGTCAGCTTGAGATTTCTTCTACACTGAGTATCAGCAATGATACGCATAAATTGGTAACTTCAGAATGGAAACAAGGTGGGGAGTGAGGAGGCAGGAAAGGACACAGAACTGGCTCCCCAGCTCTCAGGAAGAGCCTTTGGTAGGATTCCTGCTTTGCTACTCCTCATTTCCAGATTTGAAATCCATTACTTCTTTTTTTCATTTTGAAAATGGATGGACACAAATAGAAATTCTGCAAACAAAAATCACTGCTTTCTCATGAGAAATGGATTCTACTAGATACGCACTCCCACAGCGACATCTATTCATAGCATAAAGTTTCTATCATATGAAACGTGCCTGTATCGGTCCAACATTTCTTTTTCTCTGAGGTCGAAAGTTAATAAAACGCACTTCTCTGGGGTGTTTATTTTCTGTACACCACTATACCTGTCAAGAATTCTTTGTTTTTCCTCCCACTCCCTTGGCTGATGAATCAACACCACTTGAACTGTTTTACGGCAGCTTGTGTTTACTTCACACATACCTTAACCTTCCCTTTTCTCCTCCTACTGACACACACACACATGCACACACACACTTTCCAACAGCAATGACTAGCTCCATCTCTTTGAACAGTATGTGTGCACAGTGTCTGGCAGCCTCTTCAGGTGGGGATCCTTGACCTCCTTGATTGAAATCAAGGTCTCAGTCTGCTTTTACGGCACTTAAAGATTTAACTGTGCATTTACTATCTTGAAGAAAAAAATAGAGCTTGGAGAACTGAATCTCTAAGAAAGAAAGGAGAAAAGTAGAAAGAAGACATAAGTGCTAATGTGTGTGTGAACAGATACACACACACACACACACACACACACATCCTGTAGTGACAATTCTGAAAACACTAGAGTGAAGGGTTTCCAGTTTTTCTGAATCTGGAATTATACTCCAGCCTATTATAAAAGGACTCTCTCTTCCGTACTCTTACAACACCAAGTAAATAGGATCTAACAGATGACCTTGAAGCTGTGAATTCTTTTGATTTTAGCCGAAGAGGATACTAGTCAAGCACTTTAACAATCTAATCTTAAAAGAAAAACTTGGAGACAACACTCACAGAAAAGAAACACTTCTGAACCACACGATCATATCTTATAGTGAGAAGGAGTTATCCATCTTATCCTGTACAAGAGTTAATATTAGTAACATCCTAAAGCAAATATCCAAACCAGAAACTGGAGGTCCTAAGAATTTTAGAATATGCTGAAAAGAAATGGATCTTAATTCAGTTTTCATTAAACTTAATTTCTCTTGGTTAGTTCAACACCTTGACTTTCTTTATAAATTATCTATTTAGCATAAAATGTCTTCATTCCTTTGTAATCAGAAATGTGCCACCAATGCATATAAAGCTCACTTCCTCAATAGGTAACCTCATAAACCAACTCTCAAATATTCAACAGCCAAGAGGCATTACTTAGACACTCTGTCTCCCTAGAGGAAACCGGCAGGCAGCAAAACAAATAAATTCATCCTTTACTTTTACCTGCCCACCATAAATTGTCATTTAACCCTCTCAGACGGGGCAGTGAACTATCGGCAAGGCTCTAAATACCTATAATAAAACATGATGGATGATGTCATGATCATGCAAAATATGGACTTGGGAGGATCCTCAAACATCCTGTTATGTTACAAAAAATTCCCCAAATCCCCTCAGGGGCTGGTGGCATCTGAATTGAATAGCATTTGAATTGGGGTGGCAACAGCAGAATTTCTCCAACACTGGCAAATTTGCAAAGGCAAAATATCACTGATATATTTAAAGGGCTGGATGGCCTACATAGTATGCCATTTATTACAGAAGAGAATTATACATTTAGGACCAATATAATTTCGTATATAATATAGCACTGCTAGCAGAACTACTACTGTTAATTATTGCTACAGTATTATAGCTATTGTTAAATAAGAGACTACTTTGTGCCAGTATTAATGCATTTAGTCCTCACAGCTACCAGTGACTTACTCTTATTACTTCCAATTTTCAGATGAGAAGACTGAGTCTTAATGAAGTTAAATAATATGTTCAAGCTCACACAGCTAGCAAATGGAAGACCAAGATTTAAATACAAGTCTGCCTGACTGCAGAGTCCCTCTGCTTTAACCACTGCTCTGGAATTGTCTCCAAATAAACACAAAAATCCATTTCTGACCAGAGATTTCCTGATACCACATAGTCATTTCAATTTGTTAATTGGCATGTAAAGTGCTGATTTAACCTAGAATGACTGCTTTTAAATATTCATTAATAAATTAATGACAATGATTTATTGATTGAGCTTTTTAAATAGATATGCCTCTCTGAAATATACCACTTCAAAATATCTTTAAAGATTCTAGCCTTCATAAACATCTCTTGTGAAAACTATAAACTTCACACATTATGCTAAGAATTTTACTTTGGTTCTAATAACGTCTTAGTTTTAAGAGGGCCTATATATATATATATATATATATATGTATATGTGTATATATATATATATAT